GTCTTGAAAACAAAAAGCCAAAAAGGCTCATTTATTTGCTAGTCTGAGTCGGAAAAAACAAAGCAACAACAACAAACTCCAGTGTTTTATCTCTACTCTCAAACCATGGCAGGCAGTCAGCACAAAAGACTGACCTCAAAGGTATGGCTTTCTCCCGATGGCAGACAGGCAGGCAGTTCTGGAGCAGCACACACCAGCTAGGTGTCTGCTCATCCAGTTCAGCGCCGACACTGTTTACCTGGAGACAGCATTAGATCCCACACATGGAAGGCTCAGGCCCCAAGACCAACTACCCCCAGCAAAGTCCCAGGTTTTCTTTTCTTTTTTTTCTGTACTGGGAATCAAACTCAGGATCTTACATTTGCCAGGCAGGCACGGTGTTGCTGAATTATAACCCTAGCCCCTTTATTTTTAATTTTGAGACAAGTGTCTAGGTCTTTACATTTCCTAGGCAGAGCTTATCACCCCCCTGTCCCCCACCTGGGATCGAACTCAGGACCTTGAGCTTGCAAGGCAGGCTCGTCACCACTGAGCTAAATCCCCAGCCCTGGGCTTAAATTTTTGATCTTCCTTTCTCAGACTCTCAGAGTTCTGGTTCATCCTCTTGCCTGGAATTTAACAGTCTTCCTGTGTCAGCCTTCCAAGTAGCTGAGGTAGTCATGCCCAGCCTCTTCTTAATTTTTTTATTTTTAAATTTTTATTTATTTATTTTTCTGAGGCATGGTCTCAGTATGTAATCCAGGCTGCCCTAAAACTCACTGTGTAGCCCAGGCTAGCCTAGAACTAAGAGCGATCCTCCTGCTTCAGCCTCCCAAGTGCTGGGATTACAGGAATGTGCCACCATGCCCAGTTTAATTTTTTTAATTTTTATTTTTTGTGGTGTTAGTGATTAAACCCCGTGTCTCCCACATACTAGGCAAGTACTCTACCACTGAGCTATACTCACAGCTCCAGAGAATTTCTTTTTTATTTTTTGGTACTGGGGATTGAACTCAGGACCTTGTGCTTTTGAGGCAGGCGCAGCCCCACTGAGCCAAATCCCTGGCCTTCCAGAGAATTTCTTTATGGCCAGTGGTTTTTTTTTTTTTTTGGTACCAGGGATTGAACTCAGGTCCTTGCGCTTGTGAGGCAGGCAGTGGGACCACTGAGCTAAATCCCAGGCCCTCCAGAGAATTTCTTTATGGCCAGTTTGGTTTTTTTTTGGTACTGGGGATTGAACTCCGGTCTTTGCGCCTGGGGTCTTTGCGCCTTCGAGGCAGGAGGCAGGCAGCAGGCGGTGGAACCACTGAGCTAAATCCCTGGTATGGCCAGCTTTTAAGAAAAGCAGAGGAAGATTAGAGATTAGTTTCCATGACTGACCCTCCTTAGGTAAGAGGATTCTAGTTTTTATGGGCTTCCTTGAAGAGGGAGTTACATACTAGAAACTATAGACAGAAAACAAAATGAAACAAAAAAAGAAAATAGATTATCACGGTTAGTAAGGTTGAATTTTTAATTCTGAGTCAGGGTCTTGCTAAGTTGCTAAATTGCCCAGGCTGGGCTTGGACTTGTTATCCTCCTGCCTCAGCCTCCCTGAGTGCTGAGATCACAGGTGTGTGCCACCACACCTGGCTTATCTTTTGTTAATCACAGTCATTAGCCATTGACCTATTGCAGTTTTCCCTACTGTTCTGAAATACTCTAGGGACAGTTATTTTGGAGGCAGAGCTGCTATCTTGACAAAATTTTGAGGAGAAACTGGCAAGCCCTCCATACAGTAAAGTTGATGACAGAGTCGGTAAGTGGTAAAACATTTTAAACCAGAAGATTTGGACAGTTTAATTAATAAGCTTAACCTAGTACTAGTAAACACAGAAAACATTGGCAAATACACATACTTTTCAAGCACCCATGGAAGATGTATAAAATTGAGCACATAGTAGGCCATAATGAAAATCTCGAGTTTCAAAGGTTCATGTCATATGAATCTGTTGTCTGATTTGTACTTTATAGTTGTAAATCAAGAAATTAGAAAGACCTCTATTTTTGGCTCTTTCAAAATATACTTCTAAAAAACTCATGGGTCAAAGAAAGAAATGGAAAAGAGAAAATATTTAGAGTGAAGGAGTAGTAAAAATGCTATGTGTCAAAATGTGGGCTGGTGGGCCTGGGATTTAGCTCAGTGGTTCCGCCGCCTGCCTGGAAAGCACAAGGACCCGAGTTCGATCTCTGGTACCGAAAAACCAAAACAAAATAAAACGTGGGCTGGGCATGGTGAGATATGCCTGTAATCCCGGCACTCTGGGAGGCTGATGCAGGAGGATCACAAACCTGGGCAGTTTAGCAAGTTAGCAAGACACTAGCTTAAAAAATGTGTGTGTGTGTGTGTGTGTGGAGAGAGAGATGCAGATGACACTCATGAGCTTTCTCTTTTGACCTAAATTGGTCAGAGTGACTATTATTTTATTTTATTTTTTTTGGTGACTATTATTTTTTAACTGGGAATCGAACCTAGGGATGCTCTATTACTGAGCTACATCCCTAGCTCTTTGTCTTCATTCATTCATTCATTCATTCATTTATTTATTGGTACCAGGAATCAAACTCGGGACCTTGCGCTTAGAAGGCAGGTGGCAAAACCACTGAGCGAAATCCCTGGCCCTTCTTTCTCTTCTATTGAGATAGGGCCTCCCTAAATTGCCCGGGCTATTCTTAAACTCTCCATTCTCCTACCTCAGCCTGCCAGTAGCTGGGATTACAAGCATGCACCACTGGCCAGTTCAAGGGAACTTTTATCTATTTATTCATTTTTTGCAGTAGTAGGAATTGAGCCCAGGGCCTTCTCACTGAGTTATATCTCTAGCCCTCATATAACTTTTATTCTAAGACAGGATCTTACTAAATCACTAAGCTGCCCTTAATTCTTGTAGTTAAAAATAAAAATGGAAATGGTTTTCAAATAAAGAAATAACAAGATGTGCTTCTTCTAAACTTTGAAAAAATTCTTAAAATTTTTACTAGTCCATGTTTGCAGTACATATGCCTGTATTCATCGTGGGACTTCTGAATGTCTTTGCAGATATATTTAGCTAAGCCCAGTAGGCCAGTACATATTAAGCCTTTTTGTATTTCTCTCTCTCTCTCTCAAGCTCTTTTAGTTTTCAAATTTTGAGACAGGGTCTTGCTGTGTAGCCCAGGGTGGCCTTGAACTCATGGCAGTCCTCCTGCCTCAGCCTCCCAAATGCTGGGCTTGCAGGTGTGTGCCATCACGCCTGGCATGTTTTTTTCATGTTTCTTAAAAGGACACACCAACCTATCTGGTACTACTAATAATGGCACAGCAGTATTTGGTATCTTAATCTCCAGCATTGAATTGATGCCAGAGCAAGTCAGTTCCTTTTTTGAGTTAGTAGCTCTCTTGGGGACCGAGGGCAAAAATGGCTGGTTGAGGGAAATGAAGTGAAAGATGCTGGAAAGTATGTTTTGGTAGAATCTGAAATTATTGATTTGCCATTGTCTCTAGGGTTTTGCGGCCTCCAGGTGGTGGATCCAATTTTTCATTAGGCTTTGATGAACCCACAGAACAGCCTGTGAGGAAGAACAAAATGGCCTCCAGCATCTTCGGGACACCTGAAGAAAATCCCCCTTCTTGGGCCAAGTCAGCAGGTACTGCTCTGCTTTCATCTGTGATCACTGTTCCAAGGGATGTCCCCAGCTTGGGTCTGGTTTGGTTTGGTTTCTTTGAGATAGGGTCTCACTACATAATTCAAGCTAGCCTTGAGCTTAAGATCCACTACCTCAGCTTCCAGAGGGCTGGGATTACAAGCGTGTGCCAGTATGCCAGGATGTGAAGTTTTCTTGTTTTTTGTTTTTGCTACTGGGGATTGAACCCCATGGGTGCTTTACATGTGTTCTGGGCTACACCCCCCCAGCCTTTTCTTTTTTTTGGTACTGTGGATCAAACTCAGGACCTTACTCTTACAAGGCAGGCGCGGTGCCACTGAGCTAAATCCCCAGCCCTCCGATCCCCCCTTTTTTTGCCGGGGCAGGGGGTGTTTGGTACCAGGGATTGAACTAGGGACCTTGCACTGGCGAGGCACATGGCGGCACCACTGAGCCAAATCCTCAACTCTCATCCCCTTTTGATCTTGAGACAAGGTCTCACTATGCTGCCCAGGCTGGCCTTGAACTCTCGATCCTGTTTCATCCTCCTGAATAGCTGGGATTACAGGTGTGTGTCACTGTACCCAGCAGCTGGTTTTATACTAATCAAAATGTAGCTTCCATCCTGTTTCATCCTCCTGAATAGCTGGGATTACAGGTGTGTGTCACTGTACCCAGCAGCTGGTTTTATGTTAATCAAAATGTAGCTTGGTGTGGTAATGAACAGTCATTCAAGCTTAACATGATAAGAAAGAAATGGGAAATATTGAGATTTTATGGGATGGATCAGGATATAGGGACTGAAGTGGGAGTAGGATATTTAATCCCTCTTGTGGAATTTTTAAGCCGTCAGCTGAAACAGTTTCCTCCATTCGTGATATATAAGGTGTTTTGCTTTAGGTCTTTCTATTTTATTCCTCAAGAAAGTATGTTTGGTTTCTAGGTGCCAAGTCTAGTGGGGGCAGGGAAGACTTGGAGTCTTCTGGACCCCAAAGAAGGAACTCCTCTGAAGGAAGCGCTGGAGACTTCTTCGATCTGAAGGTCAGGGGGAAAGACAGATAGGCTGAGGGTTCAGAAATGAAACTTTCCCTTCTTTACTAAGTTTCAGCTCTGCCACTGGAATCTTACACCACAGCACTTAGAAAAGGGACTGGGCCATCTTGGTGGTGGAAGAGTTGTAAATAGAGAGGAAAGTCAGACAAGTGAGTTGCTCTGTGTCCTGATTCACTCTTTTTTTTTTTTTTTTGGTACGGGGATCGAACTCGGGACCTTGCGCTTGCGAGGCAGGCGCTTGCGAGGCAGGCGCTTGCGAGGCAGGCGGCAGCACCACTGAGCTAAATCCCCGGCCCATGATCCACTCTTTTGCCATAAGGATTCATCTCAGGTCCTTCAGTAGTGATTTTGGGGACTTCCGGGTCACACTAACTTCCTTTTTATCTCATTAGAATAGCATTCTCAGTTCAAGGACTATTTCAGTAGTTTGCAGGTGTTTCTTTGAGTTGAACTCTAGGAGAGTGTAGCACTAGTGCTACTGAGGATAGAACCCAGGCCTTCCTATTGAGCCCCACATCTCAGCTCATTTTTAAATTTTTAATTATGAGACAGGGTCTCCATAAGTTGCCCAGGCTAGGCTGGAACTTCTGATTTTCCTGCCTTAGCTGCCAGAGTGCTGGGGTTCCTGGGCTGTACCACCGTGCCTAGTTACCGGTATTACTCTTAGGAGTATCTGCAGAGGAGTAGTGCTGTGAAGCCTCGGGGTGTACTCTGTGTAAAGACCTCACCTAGAAGGACGTCTTCTGACTAAGGACTGTATAGCACAGAGGAGCAGTGGCTGCCTGGCGTGGGGACAGCTGTCGGGAGATTTGGACTCAGGGGTGCTTCAGCATCTGGGGAAGGAAAAGGAGAGAAAGTGGAGGATAGATTGGTTTCCCGTTCTCATGAAAGATCTTCTGAAATGCTAATTGGCTTTAGGTCATTAAAGTAACTATCACCTCTGTGTGTGTGTGTGTGTGTGTTGTCACTGGGATTGGGGCAATTTATTGTGCAGAATTGTTGTACAGCGTTGTCCCAGGTTGAGTAAAGGTTGCCACCTGCTCCTCACTTGATTGCATCAGAATGGAATTTCACATTTGACTCTGTCTAGATGTCAGCCCCTCGTCTCTGACTGTTCCGTGTGTTGGAAATTAAAATAGGAAGTAAATTTTTGTCTTTTCTTTTCCAGGGAGAAGGTGACATTCATGGTGAGTATTTTGGAAGACTGAAGTGCTGGTTCTGTAAATGCTTCAGAGCAGATCTGAATTTTGATTCACATCATGTGTTGAGGAAAGAGACTTGGCTGTGCCCCCAGTGCCAGCACACTCTGGGCAGAGAGAAAAGACAAATGACAACACTAGAAAGTTTAATCTACAAGCAATGAGATGAATGCTAGAACTGTACTTGAAAGAAAAAACTGGGGGCTCCTTTGATAATATACATACATTGATCTGGTTGATATTTGTTATATTTCCCGAGAGCTTTTTTATTTTTTGGTACCAGGGATCGAACTCGGGTCCTTGCGCTTGTGCAGCAGGTGGCGAAACCACTGAGCAAGATCCCCAGCCTTCCCGAGAGCTTTTTAAAAAGAGGCTCTGACATTTCAGGCCCAGCTCACACCATTCAATTTATAAAGTTCACTTAATACTGACATGCTGAGTCTGCAAGACTGGCTTACCTGTTGGTGCTTTTGTAAATGATGATTTCGGGTGCAGATAAATTTCGTTAGCCATCCCACATAACCAATTATAGGTGGAAATGAGCTATAATCATTTACTTAATTATTTTAGGTCTTTGAAGTATTTATTGGTACTTCTTGTAACAAGTACGAGAACTGCTGATGAGGGTCATTCAGTCAGGTGTCCAGTGCCTGCAGCTAGAAGGTGGCTGCTTCCTCACAGCCTTTCCTGCCATTATGTTTTATGATGGCAAATGGGTAAGAACAAAATTCCTCTTCTGCCCTCTCAAACTCTCCTTCTTGATCACTTTTTCACTTGACTAAAGATGTAGTTACCATATGTGGCCTCTTTGTGGCTTTTCTTTTGGAGACAAAGTCTCACTAAGTAGTTCAGACTGGCCTGGAATTCACTAATTGGTCCAGGCTGGGCTCGAACTCTCAGTGATCCTCCTGCCTCAGGCCCTGGAGCGCTGGGCTTACAGGTGTGCACAACCATACCTGGCTGTGCCATTTGGAAAGACTGTTCTGGAGGTAAAATCTAGGCCTTTTCATCTACTGCTTTTCACCTCCTGAATCCTTCCACTACTAGACATACTTTTTTTTTTTTGGTACCAGGGATCGAATTCAGGACCTTGAGCTTGCAAGGCAGGTGGCGGAACCACTGAGCTAAATCCCTGGCCCAACTAGACATATTTAGCAGAGTTAGCGCTTTAAATTTTTTATTGGTGGAGCTGAGATCAAACCCAGGGCCCTTGTCCATGCTAGGCAAGCACTCCAGCCCCAGCCCTAGAATCAGCTAATATGACTTTGGCCAGTGGATATAATTAAAAATTTGGAGAGAGCTAGGGATATAGTAACTTAGTGGTAGGCCACTTGTCTAGCATGTTCAAGACCTCGGTTTCAACCTCTAGTGCCACCAAAAAAACAAAAACAAAATATATAGGAGCCTGGAGAGGTGAGAAAGCTGTGAAAATTATGATGTAAACAGTAAATCTTTAGTCCTAGTAATTAGTAGTTGTCTTCCCTGACCCACCCTCTTTTCTTGGTTTGTTATAGATTCTTCAGGTAAATAGCACATTGAATGGTGTGCTGTAGGTTTTCTTCTATCGTTTTTACTTGTTTTTGAGACAAGGTCTCTCTATGTAGTCCAGGCTGGCCTTGAACCCAGCCTCCCAAGTGCTGGGACTGTAGCTACCTTTCTCTCTCTCTTTTTTAATGGTTATCAGAGCCAGGTGGGGTGGTGCAGGCCTGTAACACAGGAAGGTACTGTGATCACGTTTTATTTGCACATAAAGGACATTGCCTTGATCTTTTGGGGTAATTCAACTTGGGAATGCCTATACAGTGGACTTCGGACTTGTGATCTCAGAAAATCTCTGAGAAAAGGAGCACCTGGGGAGGTAGCTGAACATCTGGGAAGTTTAGGTAGAGTTCTTTCTTGACCTTTAGGCAGTTTAGGACAGTCTGCTACATTTTTATCCCCTGTGACTGTTTGACGCTTGGAATGAATCATTTTTTCTATTCAGACATAGGCATCTTTGTTAGTTATGTTATTGATGTTCTAAAGAAGAAAGACCAAAAAGAAAGAAAAAACCCCAAAGAAGACAGCCAAGTCAGGGGCATTTATAAAAAAGCCCCCCTGCCCTTTTGCAGTACTGGAGACTGAACACCAGGTGTTCACGCTGAGCTACATCCGCAGAACTTTTTATTTTGAGACAGCTTCTTGCTAAGTTGCCCACGCTGGGTTTAAATTTGTGATCCTCCTGCCTCAGCTTCCCAGAATGCTGGGGTTACAGGTGTACACATCAACACCCAGCTTAAAATGCCTATTTGATGCTCCAGGTCCTGAGTTCAATTCTCCAGCACCACAGTCTGTCAGTCAGTCAGTCAAATGTTTATTTTGGTAGAAGCATTTTCCTTTAAACCCCCATCTTTTAAAATTATTGGAATGACTGGGGATTTAGCTCAGTGCTTTCACCACCTGCTTCATAGGCACAAGGACCCGAGTTTGATCTCCGGTACAAAAAAAATTATTGGAATGAATACACTCAGGCATTTCCTGTCAAATTCCTATAAAAGTGTCTAGACACTTGCTCTCAGTTCCTATACAATAGACCCTTGAGTTATGACCAGCCTGAACATATGAACAACTTGGATTATGACTAGAATGTTTTTTTTAGACAGTCTCATCATGTAGTTCAGGCTGGCCTTGAATTCACTGTGTAGCCCAGTCTGGCCTCAAATTTGCAGCAATCTTCCTGCCTCAGCCTCCTGAGTGCTGAGATTACACCACACCCTGGTGGAATTTGTTTTAATTTACAAACAAAGTCTTGAGTTACGAACTGAATGCTGACTGCTTGTGCTTCCAGATGGTCTCAGATACAGATTTAACTCTTAAGGAGTTCTGGAAGGAACATTACAACATCCTTTGCTTCCTGAGGCTAATTGAGAAATCCTGGGCCAATGTCTCTCCTAAGGACAGTGAGATCTGCCTGTAAATGGGAGAGAGACTTTGAAGGCTGTGTAGAGAAGCCTGAGCCTTCAGTTGACCAACTTGAGTTACAACCAGCCCTTGTGAACGAATTGAGTTTGTAAGTCAAGGGTCCACTGTGCTTCCTTCATCACAGAGTGGTAACAAACGGTCCTTCCTCTTTGGCCAGAGCAGTATCAACTGAACAAACAAACACTGAAATGAAGACCTGATGCTGTACTTTAGTCTCCATGGGTGCTTTTATTTCCTTTTCTTTTTTGGTATGTTTTCATTTTCTTTTTATTTCCTTTTCTTTTTCTTTTATTTCCTTTTCTTTTTTGGTATGTTGTTTTCTTTCTTTTTTTTTTTTTTTATTAAGACAGGGTCTCACTGTGTAGTTCAGGCTGGCCTTGCACTCACTATGTAGCTCAGGCTGACCCGGAACTTGCAATGATCCCTCCTGCCTCAGCTGCCTCAGCTGGGATCACAGGTGTGTGCCACCACACCTGGCACTGGTATGTTGTTTTCCATTGTGAAAAACAAAACAATTCCATTAATGATGTAAGACAGTTATGCAATTGAAAGGAAGGAACTTGATTCTTATGAAGAGCATTTCATGAAGATTAACTACAGTGGTAGAATTGTAGGGCAGTTTTGTTCTTCACAATAATCATTAACTGCTTGATCCAGCCAGACAATGGTTAGGTCTTGTATATTTATAAAGTGAGGCAATGTCTAGCCGGCAGAAATGAAACAATTTGAAATAAGTTCAGGCTGAATTCATGGTTTATGTTCTCTTTTATCTCGGATTTTTTTCTAATATGTATTATTTTGCTTTTATTTTGTATTTCCAGTAATTGAACTAAGTTTTCCTGGGTTATTTAAGGGAAATTTGACATAGGACTTGTGTACTTCACAATGACATATTAATACTGTTTCTCTCCTTCCCTCTTTTCCTTTTTTTTTTTGGTACGGGGGATCGAAGTCGGGACCTTGTGCTTGCCAGGCAGGCGGTGGAACCACTGAGCTAAATCCTCGGCTCTCTTTGTACTTGATTTTTACTTGTTGAATAGTATAGAACATTGTATACATTGTAAGTTACTTGTATAGAATGTTTCACAATTCCTAAAACGAAATGTTAAAAGCCACAGTAGCTGGGTTGGGGTGTAGCTCAGTGGTTGAGCAGTGCTGAACCCGTGGGAAATCCTCGCTCCCACCTGTAACATCAAACCCCTCTCCTACAAAATAAAAAAGGCAGCAGTGGGCCAGGGATTTAGTTCAGTGGTTTCGCTGCCTGCTGTGCAAATGCAAGGACCTGAGTTCGATCCCCAGTACCAAAAAAAAAAAGAAAAAAGAAATTTAAAAAGGCAGCAGTAGCATAGTTCAGAGACTGTTGTATTACTGTTCTAGGAATATAATTTTTATTTTTTGTACCAGGAATCAAACTCAGGACCTTGCACTTGCCAGGCAGGCACTGTGCCACTAAACTACATTCCCAGGCCTAAGAGTATAAATTGTTTTTGTACCAGGGATCGAACTTGGGTCCTTGCACTTGCGAGGCAGGCAGCAGAACCACTGAGCTAAATCCCTGGCCCCCTAAGAGTATAATTTTTAAACTTAAAAATCTCTCCCCTCTTAAGACTTTTCAGTTTCAGTTGGTTAAATCAAAACTCAGAACAATAGTTTTAGGAAGGCCAACTTTTTTTGCGGGTGGGCAGTGCTGGGAATTGAGCCCAAGGCTTTGGGTATGCTGCAAGAAGGTGGACATTTAATGTGTAGTCTTTGAAGGACTTAAACTAATTTTTTTTTTTTTTTTGGTATCAGGGATCGAACTCAGGATCTTCCATTTGGAAGGCAGGCAGTGGAACCACTGAGCTAAATCCCTGGCCTTAAACTAATATTTTAAAAAATGAAACTGTCATTGGTGTCCAACAAGGTGGACATTTAATTTTTTGTTCTTTGAGGGCTTTAAAACTAATTTTTTTTTTTTTTTGGTATCAGGGATCGAACTCAGGATCTTCCATTTGGAAGGCAGGCAGTGGAACCACTGAGCTAAATCCCTGGCCTTAAACTAATATTTTAAAAAATGAAACTGTCATTGGTGTCCAACATGAACCTATATGAAGTTTTGTTTTGTTTATTTGAGATAGGGTCTCCCTATGTGGCCTAGGCTGGCCTCAAACTCATGGTGATCCTCCTGCCTGAGCCTCCCAAAAGCTAGGATTACAGGTGTGCACTACCATGCCTAGCTCTTATTTCTGTAATTTGAAAGGAACATACATAGAACAAATATACCAAACACCAATAGTGGTCAGATGTGAGTTGTAGGAACATGATTAGTGGTTATTGATTTCTTCTCTGTTTCTAGCCATCCTCAAACAAAAAAAAGAAAAAACAGCCTCTCAGTTTCAACTGGAAGTAGTTGTTAGCTCCATTTTTTTGTTCTCTATTTTCCTAGAAAATGTGGACACAGACTTGCAAGCCAGCCTGGGGCAGAGCGAAGAGAAGCCCGTGCCTGCCGCGCCTGTGCCCAGCCCCGTGGCCCCGGCGCCCGCGCCGTCCAGAAGAAACCCCCCTGGCGGCAAGTCCAGCCTGGTCTTGGGTTAACTCCCTGTCCTGAACTCTGTCGTTTTGTTTGTTTTCTCCATGCTTGTGAACTGCACAACTTGAGCCTGACTGTACATCTTTTGGATTTGTTTCATTAAAAAAGAAGCACTTTATGTACTGCTGTCTTTTTTTCCCTCCCTTTCTTTCCTTTTTGAAAAACAGGTTTCACTCTCTCTCTCTCTGACTCCTGGGTCTGTGGGCCATGGCATGAGTGTTTTTCTAGCAGTAGACTGGAGGGAAGGCTTTGTGACACTTAGTACCGTGTTTTTAAGAACAAATGACTGGTTCCCGATGTGTTTGAGGCTCGTTTGTCCTGAGGTTTCCCCGAGTGCTCGGCCTGACGTCAGCAGTCCATAGGCACCGTCCCGTCAGCCCCCACGCCAGGCTGTCGTGCGGCGCTTGCTGTTGCCCTACCCCATCCTTGTCCTTTGCTCAGTGCTCCTGTGCCATTCGGAACCGTAAAGAGGCCGCGCCTAGCTGCCTGCAAAGCAAAGAAACTGCCTTTTTCACCTTAACGAGGTCGGCTGGCTGATGAGTGGAGAGCCTGCTGCCCCTCGGATTTTACCATCGCCCACCTGCCGAGAAAGTTGGGGAACCAAGCAAGGGCGGCCACACTGAGGTGGGGCTTCTGCAGGAGCAGACCCCATGGGGGCGCTGTTCTTAGTAACTCGATGCTGTGTGCATGATGCTGGTGCTTGACCATGAAACGAAAGTCTCATCCTTAAAATGTGTTGTACTTCACACCCCTGGACTGTTGCTTTCAAGTAAACTATCCACATTTTGAAATGCTGTGTTCAGTGTCATCTTTTTGACATTATTTTAGTGTTCTCCCTCTGGCTCTTTTCTTTGTTACTATTAATCCCTCACCGGGGTAAGTCATTTAAAGTAATGGAGACCCTGAAGAAAGTGGGTTTTTCTGCAGAGACTCTTACTACCACTTAACCCTTTATGCTGGACAGTCGTATTTATGAGTTTGAGCCTTGGGCCCGGGGTGTAGCTCAGTACTAGAGCATATGCTTAGCATGTGGGAAGCTCTGGGAGCCCCCAGCACCAAAAATGAGTTTATTTCCATACTGGAGAGGTTCTTCTCAATTTAGGTGTTCAAAGAGGAGGGCTACAAAGGAAGGAGAGAAACATCCACATAATTAGAAGGATGTTAGCCCATGCCTGTAATCCCAGCACTTGGGAGGCTGAAGCAGGAGTATCACTGTTTGAGGATAGTTTGAAGTTCCTCTCAAAAACAAAACAAAAAACCCAAAAAACTGGGAACCTGACTCAAGTGATAAGAAAGCCTGAGGATGGGAGAGTGCCCATCAGCATGGCACGTCAACTATCAGAGTCACATTAAGACCTGGCTTTGGGTGTGGCTGTGACACTGACCAGCTGTGCTCCTTTGGCTTGTTATGTGATACCTTGGAACGACTAGGTATATCTTGGAAGAATAAAGGATTACTAGGTTGCAGGATTTTAGGTTCTTCCCTTATTGTGTTTATAAACCATTTGCAAAATGTTGAATCAACCAACTAAGCTACAGGTTCTTCCCAGTAGTACTGAAACAGCAACACAGGTTTTACTGGCTTGTGTTAGGGTTTCTACCACATCTGAAAGAGGGAAACTGTTCTTTTCAGCCTGTTAGGGTGAGGCTCCAGGAAAAGGAAGGTCCCTGGTTTGTGTCATAACTTGATAGTTGGCTTTAATTTTTAAAATTTATTTATTTAGAGACAGAGTCTCACTATGTAGTTCAGGCTGGCTTTGAACTCACTACATAACCCAGGGTGGCCTCAAACTCATGGTGATCCTCCTGCATCAGCCTCCCAAGTTCTGGGATTATAGGCATGCACCACCATTCCTGGCCTTTAACTTTTAAGTCTATGAAGATATATAAGGACCTTATTAAAGTGAAAGTTGTTCTGGGCAAGGGGACAGTTCAACCAGTTGTTTTGGTACTGTATTTTAGGAAACTGAAACATGTTTGCTAAAGGACGTTCTGTTTCTAGGTTTAGGAAACTGGGTCTGAAAAGTGAAGTTGTATGATTTTAAAGTGGTAATGGTAATTTTGATGACTATTAAAAGTGACCCAAAGGGTGGCCGGGTGTGGTGCTACATGCCTGTAATCCCAGCACATGGGGAGCTGAGGGTGGAAGATGGTAAGTTTGAGCACAGCCTGGGTAACTTAGTGAAACACTTCTTTCAAAAAAGTCTAGGGATGTGTGAAGGGCCTGGGTTCAATCTCTAGTATGAAAAAAAAAAGCTACCCCAGTGGTAAATTAATTGGCAGTTGGACCTTTGACTCAGTTTATGTGACTTCAGTTCCCTAGTAACAGCAGGGAAAAAAAAGTTGGAGACTTAGTATTTACAGCTTAGGCAGAGGTTGTTTTGCACATTCTGCAAGTGGCTCACCTTAGAATGAGGTGTCAGGCTCCCCCTTGTGATGTTTCTTTTCCTGGCCACTCAGGTTCCTAAGCTCTGGTTCTGCTGGCCACCATCCAGAGGAGACCATGTATTTTGGAGAAAAGGAAAAGGTTTATTCAAAGCTAACTCCAAGGAGATGGAGGGGCCCACTTGCCTCAAATCACCATGTTAGCGTGTACATGTGTGTAAGGGGCTTTCGAACAGAGGGAGGAGAGCACAGAGACAATGCAGATCTCCACACTTACAACTTCCAGCCGCCTTCATTCAGCTCATCCTCTTTCTTGTGGAAAGGAAACCCGGCTTCTGCCTCCTGAGGCAGGCACCTGCATAATCTGTCATTTCTTTTGGACTGAGGCGGATCAGGCTTGATTTGGTCGTGAAATGGTTAATGAATATGCTCTTTAATTGCAAGCAACAAAAGCCTGCTATCTTGGAGCAGATAGAACACAGAGCACAGGATGGGTTGTTCCCAACATAGAGATAACAACCACAAAGCAGCATCTTTTCAATGCCAAGTCACCTAAAAATATATACATCTGCCTTGATCGCTGCATGGACCCCGACCAGAAATATTTGCTCTGACCCCTATACGTGATAGACGTCCTAGACCTCTCTTTCAATGCCCTATAAAGCTTTCTGCCTTTTCTTCGTTCGAGGCTGATGGCCTCTTGCTTGCTCTGCCCAGGTGAATAAAGTCTGTACCTTTTTGTTTTCACCAGCCTACTTGGGTGGTCTCGTCCCTCCACGCCTTTGTTACAGAAAGGAGAGGGTGTTGAGTATGTGGTTACCAGGAGGAAGTTTGGAGAAGTTGCTCATCTCTAAAAGAAAAAAAAAAAATCTAACTTTTAAAGTTCCTTTTTGCAGTGCTGTTTACACTTCTGCCAAGACTGGTTTGGAAGTACAGTGGTAAGATGGGGAACAACGGCAAGATTGGCCCTCCTTCAAATACGTCATTATAGTCTGTAGGTAAATAGGTTTGAATGTAGCCTGAAAATGTGGTGCAATCCGCAAAATCTCGAAATTTCAGCATTTTCGGGGAAGCGGCAGGAGCTTGTGATTTGATGTTTCAGAGAAAGGAGGGCAGTCCTGATTCCTGGAGCTGGATGGAAATCGCCTTTCCAAGTAGAATCAGACTTTCAGTAAGTGTGCCCAAGCTTCAAAATAACGGTGGTTTATGCATCGGTCTCTGTATATGTGCTGCCCAAGCGAGAACAGCACCGGTCTCTTTGGAGCATGACTCACACACCCCAGTTGTCGTCTATAGATCTGTTTCACTTCATTAACTAGGAAGCCCCGATTCGGGAGGTGGCTGGTGCCTCCTTCAAGCAGCAGGACCTCTGGTTCCTGTTTCTCTCCAGCCTTGGCGAACAGGAAAGGCAGAGCGCACGGTGGCCCCAGACTGCAGCGATGGATTGTGAGATGCGGAGCCAGCCCCGAAGGTTTGAGGAGCTGACTCCTAGAAGATTGCCCTTTGAAGCTCTGCCCCTAGTAACAATGTGGGGTGAGAGGGGTACGTCTGGTGTAAGGTGGGAGGCAGCTGATAGAGACGCAGGATTGCTGCTGAGAAAGCTGAGATCAGAAAAGTAACCAACTCACCCCGTTACGGACCACCGCCATGTTCTTAGGAGGCTTCGCGCATGCGCACGTTGGAAGACGTCAGCCGGGGGGGGTGTCCCCCCCATCCCGCTCTATGCAAATTAGCCCCACCCGAGCCCCGCCTGCAGATCCTGGCTCCGGAAGTGGCAGGTCCCCGCTCGTGGTCCCCATATCGCGCAGCGCCGTACGAGCTCGAGTGCGGCCCGAGCCCCCGGTGTTCCTGCGGCCATGGCATCGCGGCCAGTGCGCGTGCTGGTGGACATGGACGGCGTGCTGGCTGACTTCGAGGGCGGCCTCCTGCGGGGCTTCCGCCGCCGCTTCCCCGAGGAGCCGCACGTTCCGCTGGAGCAGCGCCGGGGCTTCCTCGCCCGCGAGCAGTACCGCGCCCTGCGGCCCGACCTGGCGGTAGGAGACAGGAGCTCCTCTGTGGGCAGGACCGGCCGGGCTCCATTCCTGGGACGCCCCTTTCCGTTTGAAATGAACGAAACACCCCCATGCCCCGTACTGGGGATTGGATCCAGATCCCTTTTTTAGTTTTTTATCTTGAGATAGGGTCTCGCCAAGTTGCCCAGGCTGGGCTCGAACTTGCAGTCATCCTGCCTCAGCCTCCCAGAATATTGGGGTTGCAGGGGTGCGCCACCACGCCAGGGTAACACCTACTTCTGAACCCACAGTTCACCCTGAGACAAAGTCTGGGAGCGTTTCCCTCTCTATCCCGCACCGCTCTAAGAAAATCCTCTTTCTGATGTTGGGACTTGGAGAGCTTATTGTGCGTCCTCGCTCGGGCGCCACCTGCTGGAGGCAGACGCGAACCGAGAACTCTTGTCTTGCAGGATAAAGTGGCCAGTGTGTATGAAGCCCCGGGCTTTTTCCTAGACTTGGACCCCATCCCGGGGGCCCTGGAGGCCATGCGGGAGATGAACGAAATGCAAGAGTAAGTTGGACTGACAGGAAGGATGGCACGGGAGGGGGAGCGGCGGCGACACCGCCTCTTCTGTCACCCTTTGTCTGCAGCACCGAGGTCTTCATCTGCACCAGCCCTCTGCTGAAGTACGACCACTGCGTGGGTGAGAAGGTACTGGCCGCCCGAGCAAATGTAGCCTTCTTAAAAAAAAGTTGATTTCTTTTTTAAGACAGGATCTCAGTGTCATCCAGGCTGGCCTTTAAAAACGCTTGTAGTAGAGGCTGGCGTCCAGTTAGAGATTCTCCTGCCTCAGTCTCCCAAGTGCTGCATTACTGGAGTGCATCGCTATGCCTGGCTAGCTTTCTAAATCATATATATATTTTTTTGGTACCGGGGATCGAACTCAGGTCCTTCCGCTTGCAAGGCAGGCGTCGGAACCACTGAGCTAAATCCCCGGCCCTAAATCATTATTTTAAAGATAAATCACACAAGAAGTCAGTGAAGGCTGGGGGAGAGGGGAACTGACATTCAAGTGCTCACACCCCCTGCTCACTGCCCAGGCCCCACTGACACCGCTTCTCCTGCACAGTACCGCTGGGTGGAGCGGCACCTCGGGCCCCAGTTTGTGGAGCGCATTATCCTGACCAGGGACAAGACCATGGTCCTGGGGGACCTCCTCATCGATGACAAGGACACCATTCGAGGTGGGAGCTGTTACCTACCCGCCTGCCTGCCCTGACTAGAGGGAGTATAAACCACCAGCTCACACGCCCACCGCTTTCCTGCCCCAGGCCTGGAGCAGACACCGCACTGGGAGCACGTCTTGTTCACCTGCTGCCACAATCGGCACCTGGCCCTGCCCCCAACAAAGAGAAGGCTGCTGTCCTGGAGTGACAGCTGGAAGGCCATCATAGACAGCAAGCTGGTAGCTGTGCGGCAGGAGTGAGGAGGAATGAGCAGGAGCGCAGTGCAGGGCGCTGAAGGGGAGTCCGTGCAGAGCTGGGTCACCGGGCACAGCAGGAGCACAGAGATCCCCTCCGGCACAGGCCCAGGCCCCAGTACCTCCCTTGGTGGTCCCAGAGCATGGCTGGCACAGAATTACAGTGGCAGAATCAGGCAAGACCTTTTTAATAAAAAATATGGGCTCTCTGGTCTTTTTTTTGGTACAGGGATCGAACTCAGGACCTTGTGCTTTGTGAGGCAGGTGGTGGAACCAGAGCTAAATCCCTGGCCCTCTCTGGTCTTTTTAAGTCTGTTTATTTGGGGGGGGGGAGAGACCGGTACCTGGGTGGGGGGCACAGGGGCTGACCAGGGGGCCGTCTCTCCCTCCTGTCTTTATTTAGTCCAGTGCTCCAGAACCAAGCTTGCTTCCCTCCCCACCCGGATGGTGTTCTTCTAATAGTCTTTTGACCACCCCTGGGGGGAAGGTTAAGGGAGGCCAGGACACCCCCCCACACCCCACCCCCGTTTTTCCTGAACCACAAGTTCCCATCAGGCACCTTTCTGAGGCCAAGCGCACACGCACTGTGGACATCAGGCCGTGCACCTGTTGCCATCTCTTCTGGTCTCCTGGAACATCTCTCCCCTGCATACCTGGAACTTTCGTGCAAGGAGGGAAGGTCTAGGGGCAGGATGCCCCCTCATCAACTGCAACAGCAGGAGGGTAGTCAGGGTTCTGGTCATGTTCAGTGAGGGGGTAGAGCTAAAGGGCTCCCACCTTTTGTTTGAGACAGGGTCTCAGTATGTAGCCCAGGCTGGCCTCAAACTCATGGATCCTCCTGTCTCAGCCTCCCAAGGGATTATAGGCATGTGCCACACCTGGCTAAAGGCTCCTGTGTTGTTCCGATCCCCGAGGGGGAGGTCTCCACCCTCCACAGCCCTGGAGTGGCATGACACCTTCCAGCTTCCAGGGGCTCAAGGTGCTTCCCTCCCAGCCCCCAGTATTGGGGATTCAACTGAGCTTTGCACTGAGCTACATCCCTGGCCCTTTTTTTCTGAGAGAGTCTTGCTAGGTTTCCAGGTTGGGCTCAAACTCCTGATACTCCTGCCTCAGCCTCCCAGAGTGCTGGGATCACAGGCGTGTGTCAAGGTGCTTTTTATTTTTTTGCATGGCTGGGGATTGGACCCAGGGCCTCTCAGAATTACACTGGATACTGCTGTCAAGAGGTAATCCCTTATTTCCTCAGGTGCAGGCAACTCCTAGGCCTCAGGTCCAGGAACTAGCTTCAGTTTGCACCTCCATTTTGGCCTCCCCACTCCCAATGCCTTCTCATTCCAGTGCAAATACCTGGTGTGCTGAAAAACCTCACCTTCCAGGGGCTGAGCGAGCAGCACCTTGGTGGACTGTGCTCCCCTGCTTCCTGACCCCCCTGCTTCCTGCTCCAACCCCTCTACCAGGACTTGGTCTCCAGAGTAAGGGTGCTGAGGCGTTTGGGCTCCCTTGGATCAGGGCTGCTGGGGGGCCTCGGTCCTCGGCAGGGGGATACCCAGGGCAGAGTGGGCCTGCCAGCTGCGGGCTTCGGCCACCTGGGTCGGGGAGCAGAAGTCCTCCAGGAAGATCTGGGCCAGGTTCCGGAGCCTCGCGTTGGCCGAGAGAGAGAAGCGCAGCATGCACTGGATCACGGGCAAGGAGGTGAGCTCAGGGTGGGAGCCAGCGCCCGGCGAGCTCAGGAACATGAGTGTGGTGACGGCCGACAGCACGGTCTCCTCGTTGGGACTGGACAGGCAGCTGGTGATGAGCGGGATGCCGCCCACCTGCAGGATGTGCTCCTGGTTGGCCCTGTCTGCACACAGGTTGCAGAGGCCCCCTGCAGGACAGTGAGGTGAGTCTGGGCCCCAGCACCAGGCTGCTGCCCCCTCCTCCATCCAGTGAGTCCTGGGAGGGGCCCGGTGTGTGAGAGTTGGCCAGTGACCAGGGATGCAAAGCCCACTGGAGCTTGCAGCCCTCTCTCCCAAGACCTGTGATCACCCAGCCTTCCAGAAGTGGGACAGACCCCTTTCCCTCTCGGTTCCGCCAGGTCAAGGGCTGCTATGCTTTCTCCCCTTTTTTTGACAGGGTCTTGCTATGTAGTCAGGGTGGCCTTGAACTCACTATGTAGCCCAGGTTGACCTTGAACTCTTGGCAATCCTCCTGCCTCAGCTTCCTGAACCCTGGGATAATAGGTGCGTGTCACCATGCCCAGCTTTCTTAGGTTTGTATGTATGTACGTATTTCAGGGAATGGAAGTCAGGGACTCTGTTTGCCAGGCAGATGCTGCGCTGCTGAGCGACATTCCTGGCCCCTTTTAGATGCTTAGAGATCACTGTTTAGCACAGGCTGCTCAGTGCAGGAAGATGACTTCCTGTGTATCCTGACCCGTCTTCCTCCCCTCCTGGTATCCCCGAACTTTGACTTCTGCTCAGAGGTGAGGCCACAGCCCTGCCCAGTTCCCTCTTCTCTGGAAACTAGCAAATAGTTGGGCCTAGAACACACCTCAGGCACTTTCCCCAGAGAGGGGTACAGCTGCCTGTGGTGTCTCTGCTAAGGACCCTCCTCTGCCAAGGCAGAAGTCAGCCAAGGTTTGGCTCAGCTGCCCCCTCAAGAACAGAAGCTGGGGCAAGATGAGTCCTGCTTTTTTGGGGGGTACTGGGGCTCGAACCAGGCTCAGGAAACACTTTCAAAATTCCATTTGGCCTCAGGACTTCCCATGTGCCGGGATAAAACCGACTCTCCTTGGCATCACTGCAGTTGCCAACCTCAGTCCGCCCTTGTGACCCTCTGGCCCCAACCTGCACAGGCTGACACCCTTCTTGCTGGTGACAAACACTCCCTGGCTCCCTGGCCAGTGAGGTCCCCTGGAATGTCAGCTTGCTGTACTGCTGTGGCCCCTCGCCACCTGTCACTGTCCTCAAGAGACTGAGAACCTGAGAAATGGATTGTGCATCTGTTTCCCTGCTCCCTGCCTACCGAGACCCCTGGGAGGTGAGCGCTCTGGGGTCACGTCCTCAGTGCCGGCACAATAAGGGGTCCACAGACATGTGCTAGAAGTTTGGATTTTTTCCCCTGTGGTACTCAGAGTTGAACCCATGGCCTTCATACTGAGCTAGAACCCCAACATTTTTTTTGTAAACTTTCAATTTGGAAACAGGGTCTCATTAACTCACTAAATTGCCCAGGCTCAGCTTGAACTTGTGATCCTCCTGCCTCAGCCTCCCAGAGTGCTGGGATCCCAGATGTGTGCCACCACCACGTGCTTGCTGGAAGTGGTTTTTTTGTTTTGGTACCGGGGATTGAACTCAGGACCTTGCGCTTGCAAGGCAGGTGCCGGAACCACTGAGCTAAATCCCCGGTCCCTGCGGGAAGTGTTTTAAAGCAGCCACGTGGGAAAGAGGTTGCAGAACTTCAGAGGCCTGGGGGCCAGACAGGAAGGCTCCCCAAGATCCTGTCCACCTGGAATTCTGTCGTTCCGGGGCGGGGCTGGCTCACCCGCAGCTGCATCTGAGAAGAGGAAGAGCTGAGGGGCCTCGCCGAGTCCTGAGGGAGATGGGCATCAGCAGCAGAGGGCGACCTGGCGCCCACCCACTGGGGTGACCAGCACCCCATTTTAGTGGGAGAAGCTGAGGCTGGGAGAGGCTAAGCAAAGGTCCCCAAGGTCCCAGAGGGGCAACGCTTTGCCATGGGTGTAGGACACGGTGCTCCCTGGAAGCCGCAGGCAGCCAGGCTCAGCCAGGAGGGAGTGCAGCCCGCCCTGCACCACTTCCAAGACTCCGGCCCACCATGGACTTGGGATGGGCAGGGCTGGGCAGGGCACTGCCCCGGCCAGGAAATAATCAGATGGCGCTGCTGGATGGTGACCGCAGGGTCTCCCAACCAGAGGCTTTCAAAGCCTCCAAGGATGGAGCAGGCGCCTGCTGGGGCTCCCCAGCTGCCGAGGTGCCACACAGTGACCCTGGCACCCTCTGACTGATGGGTGGTGACCTCGGGCATAAGAAGTGGCATGGCCCACAGGGAAGAGGCAGCTTCAGGAGCAGGGAGGCCAGGCCGGGGCGCTGAGACCACACCGGAGTCCCCAGGAACGGCCTCGGCCAAGGCACCCCCGAGCCCCTACTCTGTCTGCCACTGTGAACCCATCCTGAAGAGCCCAGGAGGCTGAGCAGCAGGTGACACAAGCATGACACCGCCTCACGTGCTCACCAGCAGCAATGTGGCCAGATCAACGGCCGCGCAGCCACAGGGTGACACAGCACTTGTTCCCAGCAACAGTATCTTCAGGGAGGAGTTGCTGTGGGACAGTGTTTGCAATATGCAGCCAGGGGAAGATGCCACGCTGCGTAGGGAACAGCACAGGTCCACCAAGCTGTCACCCTCTGAGAGCCTTCTGTGACCACTTGGATCAGCCCCTCTCCAGCCCATCCTCCCGCCCTGGCTTTACTCTTTTCTTCCAGCTTAGGCATATTACTGGAGAGACGTGGTAAAATGTTTCTTGCAGCCAGGAGAGGTGCAGCATGCCTGTAATCCCAGCATTTGAGGGAGGCTGAGGCAGGAGGATCACTAGGAGTTCAAGGATAGCCTGGACTCACAGTGAGATCCTGTCTCAAAAAACAAAGAAATCCAGAAACCAAACCAGTAACAAAAAAACCAGTTCTTGGCTACTGCCCAACTATGGGGGGGGGGTATTGCTCAGGGGAGGGGTGTGCTCAGCATATGCTAGGCCCAGCACAAACAACAAAACTATAAACTCCAGCCAGGTGTGGTGGTGCACACCTATAATCTCAGCATTCAGGAGGCTGAGGCAGGAGGACTGCTGTGAGGTCAAGGCCAGCCTGAGTTACATAGCAAAACCCTGTCCCAAAAAACAAACAGAACGATAAGCTCCATAAGAACAGATAGTTTCTCTTGTCCTATTCTCACCCACAACCTAGGACAGCGACGGCAAACCTTTTAGAACTTCAGGGGTAACAAACAGCCAGGTGCAGCACATGTGCCATAGGTTCGCCATCACTGACCTAGGATGTGGCACCAAAATGCGAGCAATGGTTATCTCTGCAGGGTAGGATGGTGGTTACTTTTCTTTTATTTGCCAGACTGTCTTCAGTGAAAACGTCCTTTCTTTCTTTTCTTTTTGATACCGGGAATCAAACTCCAGTCCTTGCACTTGTGAGGCAGGCAGCGGAACCAGTGAGCTACATCGCCGGGCCCCTTCTCTCCTTTCTTTTCTCCTTCTCTCCTTCCTTGCTTCCTTCCTCTTCTCTTCCCTCCTCCTTCACAGTACTGGGGGTCGAACCCAGGGCTTTATTCATACCAGGCAAATCCTGTACTACTGAGCTACAGGCTCTCACCCTTTTTTTCCCCCTTGCAGTACCGGGGACCAAACCGTGAGCTACATCCCTAGTCCTTTTTTTTTTTTTTTTGTGGTACCAGGGATCGAACCGGGGTCCTTGCGCTTGCGAGGCAGGCGGTAGAGCCACTGAGCTAAATCCCTGGCCCTAGTTCTTTTTTATTTTGAGACTGGGTCTCACTAAGTTGCTAAGCCTGGGTCTGAACTTGCAACCCACCCCCCCCAGCCTCCCAGGTATCCAGGATGACAGATGTGCACGTGGCACTCAGCAAAGATTCTTTTTTAAAAAAATTGTGCTAGGGATCAAATCCAGAGCCTTGCACATTGCACATGCTAGGCAAGGGCTCTACCACTCAGCTCCGCTCCACTGCCAGTCTGTCTGTCTGTCTGTCTCTGGTACTGGGGACTGAATCCAGGGCCCTCCCACTGTGCTACTTCAACCCTATTTTTTTTTTTAATTTTATTTTACGCTTCAGGTAAGTTACTAAGTTGCCCACGCTATGCTTATACTTGCTATCCTCCTGCCTTAGCCTCCCAGAGTGCTGGGATTATATGCCTGTGCCACTATAGCCAGCCTCTAGCCTATTTTTTTGTTTGGTTTTTTTCTTTTGAGACGGGGGTCTTGCTGTGTAGCCCAAGCTGGCCTCAAATTCATGGCGATCCTCCTGCCTCAGCTTCCCAAGTGCTGGGATTACAGGCCTGTGCCACCACACCCAGCTACCAACCCATTTTTTAAAAGCTAAATTTTACTCAGGAAGGAGGATTACTCAACAAATGACACCATTAAAGTAACAAAGCAAAAAGAGAAAACATTTGAACAACCCAATTTTTAAAATGAACAGAAAGATAAGGGAAAAAAAAGACTTAAACTCTTCATCATCAGGCCAATACATATGAAAAATTGCTTATTATTTATCAGAAATGAAACAGAATTACAATAAAATGTCATTATACACCCAGCATAATATTTAAGATAAAAAAGACTGTCAGGGGCTGGGGATTTAGCTCAGTGGTTCTGGCACCTACCTCGAAAGCACAAGGTCCTGAGTTCGATCTCTGGTACCAAAAATAAATATATAAGACTGCCAGTACTTAAGTACTGGCACGGAGCTGGAACATGAGAGTATAACATGGCCCAATTATGTTGGAAAGCTCTTTAGCAGCTCCTAATAAAGTTAAAAATACATCTAGCCTGTGACTCAGCAGCTTCACTCCTAGGTGTCCATCTGAGAGAAATGACTATGTGTACAAGAACTGTATGAAAAATAGCTGGGGCTGTCATCCCAGCACCTAAGAGGTTGGGTTTTTTTTGGTTTTTTTGGGGGTACTGGGGATTGAACTCAGGACCTTGCGTTTGTGAGGCAGCACCTAAGAGGTTGAGGCAGAAGGATTGCCAGTTTGAGGCCAGCCTGGACTATGTAGTGAGTTCAAGGCCGGCCTAACTACATAGCCAGACCCTATCTCAAAAACAAACAATCAAAACAAAGAATTGTAGAAAAATGCTCATAACAGGTTTATCAAAAGGCTCCAAACCAGAAACAACTACAGTCTCCAGCAACAGGTGAACAGATAAAGTATGACATATCCTGAATGATTCCATTTATTTATTTTTTAATTTTTATTATTTTTTTTTGGTGCCAGAGATCGAACTTGGGTCCTGGCGTTTGTAGGGCAGGCAACGGAATCACTGAGCTAAATCCCCAGCCCTACCATTTATTTTTTATTTTGAGGGTCTCGCTAGTCCAGGTTGGCCTCAAACTCATGGCGATCCTCCTGCCTCAGCCTCTCCAGTCCTGGGATTGCAGACATGCACCACCATGCCTGGCATGATTCCATTTATATCAAGTTCAAGAACATAACAAAGCAATCTATGTAGTTATGTCAAGGTGGGAGGGGATATGCAAGAACTTTCTGAGCTGGCTGAGTTGTGTACACTTGCAATCCCAGTATTCAGAGAGGCTGAGGCAGGAGGATGGCAAGCCTGAGTAAGCCCAACCCAGGAAACATAGCAACTTAGATGCTGTCTTAAAAGAAAAGCTAAAATAACAGGCTGGGGATATAGCTCAGTGCGAATGCACTGGGTTTGATTCCCCGTACTGCAAAAGCAAAAACAAACAAAAAAACCCCCAAAATAAACCATGTGAGTAGAGAAATTCCACATCTTGATTTAGGAGCTGTTACATGGAGGTGCACAGATTTTAATAAATTTAAAAATCCATTGAATGGGCTCTAAGAGTATTTGCACTTTATTATAGGTTGATCGTAGTTTTAGAAAATGGCTACAAAATGAACAGAACAATTTCTGACTGGCTAATGGGTGTGCTTTGGACAAAGAAAAGACAAATAGAACAAGAAGGCAGAGGGCAGGAACCACGGAAATGCCAAACGCAGCCTGGGAGTAGAGCACCAGAGACTTGGAGAGGCCAGGAAGTGACCTCGGGTCACACAGCCAGTAGGGCGTCAGTGCTGGGAGGGACAACCTGGCCTACAAGGATTAAATGCAGCTGAAGATGGCTGTGTCAGCACTTGGCCCCTGGTGGCCAGGCCAGCCCTTGTCAGGTGGCCCAAGACATTAGTATACTTGAGGAACCGCCTGCCCTGGGGCTCTGGCCCGATGCAGCCCATGGTCACAATTTTCAATGGGGCCTGGGCATGGCTTGGTGGTAGAACACTTGCCTGGCATGTGGGAGGCCCAGGGTTCACTGCCCAGCACCAATGAAAAGAAAGAGCCGGCAACTGAAGGAGAGCTACTGTTCACACGTGTGCCCTTCTGAATTTTACACCATGCAAATCAATTAGTCACTTGCATGGGGTGCAGGTATAGAATCAAGGCCTTCATACTGGGCTATACCCTCAGTCCTTTTTTATTTTTCAGACAGGGTCTCAATGAGCTGCTAAACTGCTAGGCTACGCTCGAACTTGTCATCTTCTTGGCTCAGCCTCCCAGAGTGCTGGGTTTACAGGAGTGCACCACCACACCTGGCCATATTCTCATAAATTAATAAAGTACAAGCCAACACACACACTCACACACACCCTGCTTGTGTCTTGAACCACAGAGAAGGGGACTCTGTCTCTCCAAACCACGCAGGAGTGGCGAGGGCAGCCTGGAATCAGACTTCTGAGCCGGGGAGAGAGGAGGGGAGAGACTCCTCTCGCCTCCTTCCTGTGATGGGATCCCACCACAGGGGAGTGGCTGGGGGACTCTAGTATATGTGCAGCCTAGAGGCTGCCACCAGGCCACCCCAGGAACCCCATATACAAAGGCGCTGGCCCATCAGGTGGATTTGAGTGAGAAGGCAAATGTTTGTGACCAGCAAGCACCCAGGTGACCCACAAGCAGGCCCTTTTCTGTCCAGTCTGTTCCTTCCTTTAAAGTGCTCGGCTTCCTGATGACACTTAAGTATTACATGTGTTTAGCATCATTTGCTCAACATATCTCTGCGAGATCACTGCATATGGGTGTACATCTCTTTCGCTGTGAAACAGTACAAACAGCCCAGTGTGGTATCTACCATTGACTCACTCCAGTTTGGGGCTGTGCTGCTGGTGACCTTTTGTGCACATGTGTGGATGTGGATGTCCCCAACCCTATGAACAGAACTGCGCGCTCTCTGGGTGTGCCTAGCTTCCATTTTACAAAACGGTTTCCTAGAAGCTGCTGAGGGCTTGTACACCAGTCTTTACCTAAGCACCACTACCATCTGGTGGCAACAACAGGTATTGCAGGAAATAGAACACAAGCCGTTGAACATGAATTCTGGGAAGCTGCTTACTTAAATCCTGACAGTAACAAAACTGACAAGGAAAAAAAACAACAAAAAACCCAAAAAAACACCAAAAACCAGGCTGGGGATTTAGCTCAGTGGTTCCAGCGCCTGCTGCGCAAGCACAAGGTCCTGAGTTCGATTCCCGGTACCAAAAAACAAAACAAAAAAACCAACCAACCAAACAAAAAAGCCCCAAAACCAAAAAAACACCTGACAAGGATTCTATGATATACTAGGATTCAATCAGTTCTCTTGAGGCCAAAGACTTCTCTCCTGATTCCTTTATATCTCTAGGTAGGTTCGAGGACATACAAGGGTACAGGATACCTGAGAGGCAACTTCTGGTGCTTTGGGCAAACACTTCCAAATTAATACCACAGGCCACCGATGCTGTTTTTTTGTTTTTGGTACCGGGGATCAAACTCGGGTCCTTTTGTTTGTGAGGCAGGCGGTGGAACCACTGAGCTAAATCCCCAGCCCTTTTGTTTTTTAAAACAGGGGCATGTCTTATCCTAGGCTGGCCTTGAGCTTGAGATTCTGCCTCAACTCCTGACTGCTGTTTTTTTTTTGAGGCAGGTCTCCCTTTGTAGGTCAGGCTGGCCCTGAACTCCACTATGTAGCCCAGTTCATGGTGATCCTCCTGCCTCAGCCTCCTGAGTGCAGGGATTACAGGCGTTCACTGTGCCTGGCTCTCACTGGTAAGATTATAGACATGCAGCAACATGCCTATAGCCACTGGTTTTTTGTTTGTTTTTTTTGAGACAGGGTCTCGCTATGTAGTTCAGGATGGTTTTGAACACATTATGTAGCTCAGACTGGCCTTGAACTCCCAAGTGCTGGGATTTTAGGTGTGCACCACCATGCCTGGCTGATTTTTTTTTTTTTGGTACCAGAAATCGAACTCAGGAAATCGAACTCAGGACCGTGTGCTTGGATATTTTTCTGCATGCTTTCTTTTTGGTACCAGGGATTGAACTTAGATCCTTATGCTTGCGATGCAGGCAGCAGAACGCTTGGATATTTTTGATTTGATCATCAGTTGAGGTATTTTTATTCATTCACTGAGTACTTCCTGAGATCCTCCTTTTATATCTGGAGGCCCATAATTCACCTACTTCCAATCCAATCTCCCAAACCAGGGCAACTCTACTCTGGCCAACGCTGTCATCCAGTGGCAATTCCTCTAAGACAGTGATCGAAAGTGGCCCTGGGCTGTGGGCACTACTTGGTGCAGTAGAAACAAAGAACATGGGAAGACTATGCCCTGGAATCTAAACCTGGGTTCTGCTAGCTAAGTGCCCTGGGTAGGAAGCTGAAACCAGTGCCTTTTCAGTGAGCTAGTTCCCAGCCCTTTTTTCTTTTCTGGTTTTTTTAAACAGAATCTTGCTGTGTGATTCAGGCTGGCCTTGAACTGGAGGTGATCCTCCTGCCTCAGGCTCCAGAGTGCTGGGATTACAGGCGTGTGCTTGCTTATGTAGCACTTGCCTAATAAACATCTGTCCGGTCACTAATTCAGTATGTCCTAATGTCATGACCACAGGAGTCCTAAACTACAGATTATTAGTCACCTTTGCCTCTCTTGATATTAAACTATTTAAGGGTGATCTCCAAACTCTCCCCTCAAAGTAGTTTCAAATTCCTTTCCCAAGGACTCTTCAAACTCTCTCACTTCAGCCCACAGGTATCTGGGGGTGGTGATGGGGGTGGGGGTGATCCCATCCTTACCAATAGCAAATTCCACCAGGCTCTCATTCTCTTCCGACAGCGAATCGAGGAATAAATCCAGGACTTGCAGTTGCCTCAGATATTGGTAGTTATTAGGGTCATAGGCGAAGTTGGCAAGGTTGGCGAGAACTTGCTCCTTGGCGTCTGCAATGGGGAAGCGGGACTGGAGCCGGGTCCGGGAGGCAGACGCGGCCAGACCCCCGCCCGGTCCCCCAGCGCCCACCCCGCGCCCCTCACCTTGGCTCTCCGTCTCCTGGAATTCCGTGACCAGAGCCTGCAGGTACCCAAGCCGCCCGACGTGGGGGTCCACCTTCGGCTTCTGGGCCATGGTCGGAGTGGAGAGCGGAAAGGGGAGGCTGGACGGCAGGGCTAGAACCTCACCCCACCCTCCAGCTGACCCCGCAAGGCCGGACGGGGCGGTAAAAGGGTTCAGACTTTGTAAAGTCGCAGCTGGAAATGGGCTGTGGGAAACAGGGAAGGCGGGTTTCGGGATTCTGTAAGGGTTGGGCTTGAGGATCACAACAGAGGCACAGGAGACGTCAACGCGGTCGTGGGCTGGAGCGGGATGCCTGGGGCTTCGGGGGCTCCAGCACCTCCAGCCAGTGACCCAGCGCCTCCGGACCTCGGTTCCGGGCTCCAGCGGAAGCTGCGCTGACCCCACCCACAAGGAGCAGAAGGGGCGGGACTAGGGGGGGAAGGCCAGCTGCTGAATTTGCGCATGCGTGTGGCCCTTCCCTCCCTCGCCCTGTCGGCCAGGCGCCTAACAAAGGCGGACGGTAGGTGGCCTCAGGAGCACAGAAGAGGGCGCTGGGGATGCAGCTCAGGGACACTGCGTCTGCCTTGCAAGTGCAAAGTGCAAGATCCTGAGTTTGATCCCCGGTACCGGGAGGAAAAAAAAAAAAGAGCACAGAAGAGTCGGAGGCCGCCAATGTAGAGGAGCCACGGACGCAGAAGCACCTGGTGTAGTGTCTGTGTGTGTGTGTGTGTGTGCGCGCGCGTGTGTGTAGCCTGGACTCCTAGTCTGCTATTCCTCTCCGGAGCACGTGCTCCATAGACACCCCTATATGTCTTGTGTTTTCCATGGAAAGAATCAGATAGAGAGCCAGGGATTTAGCTCAGTGGTTCTGCCGCCTGCCTCGCAAGTGCAAGGACCCGAGTTCAATCCCCGGTACCAAAAAAAAAAGAAAAAAAAAAAAGAATCAGATAGAAGCACCAGGGCACAGGAATAAGGCTTTTCTTCTTATGTTTGAGCACAAGGCAGAAAGCCATGGGGGACAGGAACCCCAGGCTGACCCAAACAAAGGACAAAGATGTAGAATACCATGCCTCTTTATGGGATACGTGTCTCATTACCATCTTGTCTCCACCTCAGGGTGTGATTTTTACTGTGCTAATAAAGGTAACTATGCATACATTTGTTCCTTAGAATTTGTTCCTAATTGGGTTTGGGGGCAGGATACATCCTTCCCCTACATCAGTGGATTTGATCCTAGTGATCTTGTGGTTGGCTCTGGGTTCTTGGTGTCTGCTGACCACACACATAGTCTTTGAAAGTTGAATTGACTTCTTATTCTCCTGTCTCCACATGTATTCCCTTAATAGCTTTGAAACTGATCCACTTCTCTTTTTAGTTTTTGTTTTGTTGTCATTGTTTTGTGTGCTTTTTGTTGTTTGGGTTTCTTTTGAGATAGTCTCGCTATGGAGTTCAGGCTTGCCTTGAACTCACTATGTAGTCTAGGTGGCCTTGAACTCATGGGGATCTTTATGCCTTAGCTTCCCAAGTGCTGGGATTACAAGCATGTGTCACCAATTTTCCAGTATGGCTTTTCAAAAAAACTGGGTGAGGGCCGGGGATTTAGCTCAGTGGTTCTGCCACCTGCCTCACAGGCGCAAAGACCCGAGTTTGATCCCGGTACCAAAAAACAAACAAAAAGCTGGGTGACCCTAACACTCCCTCCACTCCAACCTTGAGCTGAACTTCCCACCTCTGGCCAGATATCACAGGGTCTGAGTTGATCATAAGGCTCTTTGTCAGCCAAATGTGCCTGGGGCATCTTGGGCAGCACTAAGGAGCACTGAAAAATACCTCAGTTCACCCCAAAGTACTGCGCTGGTGGCTTTTTAGGTTGTGGAGCCTGGGATGCTGAAGCTCTTTGGGCTGATTACTTGTCTCAGGGCTTCTCAGGAAGGTGGTGTGTGACCAAGATGTTATGGTTGTAGGGAACAGAGTACCTGGAAGGGAGGTGACCTTGCCACATTTGCATCATACTTGAAAATATAGGGGTAGATGAGGGTTGTGCTGTGAACTTCCTGAGGACAAGGCTCATGTGACTATGCTCTAGGCCTGGCAATGAAGCCCTGGATCAGGACAGGGGAGTCCCCATCTCTGAGGTTCAAGGTCCCTGTGCCCAGCTGGGGCAGGAGTTTTGACCTTAGGTACCCTGACTGCTCAGTGAGAGTCCCAGACCCTGTGGCATCTATGGCAAGCCTGTGTGGCCTGGGGAAGTGTATCTCAGCTCAGGGTGGCAAAGGCTCTTCTCTGCCTTTCGCTGAACAGAGCAGCAGAAGCCTGTGGACCGGGAAGCCAGAACTTGGGGGCAGGATGAAAGGGAGCCCAAGCCTTCTCCCACATGAATGGCCCCAGGCCCTCTCTAGAATATTCTCAGGGAATCAGCTAAGTGTGGGTTCTAGAATCAGACTGGCTATCCCATTCTCCCTCACAGGTGTCAGGTCTGGTTCTAAGGCCTCAGAGGCCCTCCTCCTTGAGGAAGAATTCTTAGTACTTAGTTTTGTGTTGAGGGCAGTGACAGGTCATATTCCTTTCTGCCTGGTCCCCGGCACACAGTAGATGCTCAGTAAATATTGGTTAGAGGAATTCTGCCCAGAGATTTTTTTTTCCCTTTTTGCCCAGAGATTATTGCCCATCTTGCCTGGAGGTAGATGAGGTTAAGATTCCCTATGCTGAAAGTTCATCAGTATCTTTGTTCCATTTTTTTTTTTTTCAAATTCAAATTGGTTTATTTATCAAAGACTTACTTTAGTCATGGAAATAAATAAAAGGCATTTGGGTTTGTTACAGTTTTAGTTTTATGAGTGCTCATTTATTACCTAGCCACTTGAATAGAATTGCTTAAGGGATTTTACCATGTAGACACGAGATACTAAAGCAGAATTTAAAAGAAAATCAGTTTTCCCAGCTGAAAGCAGACTAGCAGCTCCCTACTCAGGTTCTGCCTGCCCCCTTTCCCATAACTACTGACCCCACCCTGTACTCATAAGGTAGACAGTCATATTCCTGTAAATGAAGTTTTGTAACCCCTGAGGAACTATATGCTCTGTAAATGACTATGTTCTGTAAACAAAGTTTATGACACTCTGTTTTCATACGATTCATAACACACTGTCATCTTACAAGGCTAAATTACTAAACTGCCCTTGTCCTGTTCTCGTAAGCTCACTGGACTAGAAAGACCACCCCCCTTTGACTAAATGCATAAGAACTGGAACTTTCCTTTATTCAATCACTCAGCCTTTTGGACAGGAGTCTAGCTGAGTCAAGGTGCACCAATAAATCCTTCTGATTCTCTTTTGGTCTCTCTTGTCCTCTTGGAATTCTGTCCATTCCAATGCCACTGAGCCACGAGTGGCTCACAGGGACCTGGGCCTCCGACTACCCAGACAGCAGCTCTCTGGCCCCGAGTCCCACGGAAGAACAATGCACATCACAAGCTTTGAGAAATGGCCCTTGTGACTGGGCAAGTCCACTCCGAGGAATCTAGTCTTTGGAAATAACCAGGCAAATGTTTGAAAATGTAACAAGCAAAGTAAAAAAATAAATTCCAGCTCATTATCAGAGAAGCCAAGCTCACGTCTACAGGTACAGCTGTTACTAATGTAATTGGCTTGAATTTGGTTTCCTCCTCTGTAAAATGAGACAATTGGGTAAAATGAAGGGTTTTATAAAGCCTAAAATGAGCTAAGCGTGGTATGGCACGCCTATACCACCAAGGCCCAGCACTCGGAAGGCTGAGGCAAGAGGATTGCCGCGAGTTCGAGGCCAGCCTGGGCTGCACATAGCTAGACAAACACAAAAATAGACAAAATAATACTAAAAAAAGAGATCCTAAATCGCCGGGTGAGTTCGAAGAGCAGCCTTTTTAGGGACGGCCCTGCGAGGTTTCTTTTGTCTTCAATGCAGTGGCTTTGAGCCATCGGGGTGGGGAAGTCTCCTCTGTGCCCAGCTCTGCAAGTGCCCGAGACCTCACGTCTGTGTTTGCACTAACTGTATTTGCACGGGGTTTGCACAAACGCAGGCTCCGCAGACCCCGGGAATCGGGCGGGCCAAGGGTGCAGGGCCACTGGGTGTGGCTCCAGGGCAGGAGGCCCGGGGTTCGCGTCGCCCTCGCCCGGCGGAGAAGGCGAGGCAGCGGTGAGCTGCGGTCGCCCGGGGCGGGGGCGGGGGCGGGGCCGGGCGCTTGGAAGCCTTCCGCGCCACCAGTATCTTTGTTCCTTAATTGTTTTCAGGATACACAAAGCCTGGTGGATACCAGCACCCCAAGCACCTGCCTACCAGCCTCTACTCCCTCCTTTTCCACTTAGCTGAGATGGGGAAATGCGTCCCAGCAGTTTTCCTTCAGAGCACATGCCGTGGTGGGTAGCTGAGCTCAGGACTGGGTGGAAAGCTGAAAGGCACTGGGAGTCAACAGAGTCAGACTTTGTTTTGTTTTGAGACAGGGTCTCACTACGTAGCCTAGGCTGGCCTTGAACTCTCAATCTTCCTGCCTCGGCTTCCCAAGAGCTGGTATTATAGCTGTGTACCAAAATGCCCAGCTCATCTCATACTTTCCTTTTTTTTTTTTTTTTTTGGTACCGGGGATCGAACTCGGGTCCTTGTCGTACTTTCCAAATTGGGAGAGGCTTAGCTCATCCAGACTAACCCAGAGATGGTGAACAGTTTGCCCAGAGCCATGCATCAAATGGTGGCAGTGAAATACAGGACTCAGGTTCATTCCCAGCCCAGAAACCTCTGCTGCCTGCTGCACTACCTCCTTTGGCCATAAGGGGCATCCGTGGCAGGGGCCTGGAAGAGACAGGACAGCCCAAGAATGGTTATTTTTGCCAGATGGACATGTGGAGGAGGAAAGGTGGCGGTCAGACCATGAAAATAAAGTAATTCCTCCTGATAAGATTTTCTTGCTGGAGCCTGGCTGAGCCTGACTGAGCCTGAATCAACAAACAAGGCCCGAGGCTGAGCAGCCCTTGCCAAGCTGGGAAAAAGGAAGGAGACAGGGAGGAAATTTACTCTGAGCCCATTTTTCAGTTTTACTAGTTCAGAGTTTATGATCTGCTGCAGAAAACATTTTTGTGTATGATTTAAACAAACTGCTTCCCCATATCCTGGGGTACATCACTGGGACAAGCCAGCCCTGCTGATGGCTTCAGGGAGGCACAAGCAAAGTGCGTGTGAGGACGATGGTAGCTTTGGCCTCAAGGCCACGGGCACCGGCCCAGCTAGCTACTGTCCTAGGTTGACACTTTTCTTCTTCTTTCTCCATTTTTTATTTTCGAGACAGGATCTCCCTTGTAGTTTGTGGTGGCCTTGAACTCAGTGTATAGCCCAGGCTGGCCTCAAACTCCCAGTGATCCTCCTGCCTCAGCTTCCCAAGGGCTGAAATT